TCCCACCAGCAATGCAGGAGCGGCCCAGTCTCCTTTTGTCTTAACCAGGGCGGGTTGTCAAGCTTGAGGCCTTAATATAGATTTGAGATCAGAAAGAGGAGCATAGTGGATCCCCCAGGACTTGGTATTTGTTATCAGAGGTAACAGGAGGGAAAATCCTAAGGGTGAGCAAGTAATGGCAGAGTGAAATTAACAGCAAGGTCACAAATACCAAGAGAATTGGAGTTGGGGTCCGAGATGGCTAACGAAACTCACAGAGTTTTCCCGTTTCACTTGCAAAACTCCACTGAAATGAAAGAAGACCCCAAGATCGGGATTAGCAACTCACAAGAAGTACAAAACAGCTGTGCCGATTTGCTTTCACAAAAGGAGGCTGTGTTTACTGCCCCCTGGCTGAAGCCCTAGGAACTGCTCCTTTACTGAAGTGGCAGGTTTACAGTGAGGAGAAGCAGCAGGGGGATGGATGTCTTGGGCCCAGAGCTCCCATCCCTAGAAGGCAACCTTCCTTCTGAAGGGAAATCCTATCTATCCTAAACAGACAACACAAGTCGTCACGCGTTCCAGAAAAGTTTCCTTTTTGTCAGTCCTGAAATCAGAATGTCTAACCACTGACATGTTCATTGATTACAGCAGGGCTGTGCCAGTAAGTCGAGTTGCTTTCCACTCATAGCAACCCTGTGTAGGGGTTCTGAGGCACGGCTGGTAACTTTGAACTGCCAACTTTGCGGTTCAAATCGACCTTGGGGTCCAGTATCTTGGGGTGAAGGAGCCCGGCTGCTCTGGCAGGGTTCCAACCGACTTTGTCCCAAAGGGTTGCAGTGTCTTTGAGTTGGAATCGACTCGAAGGCAAAGTTTGGTTTCTGAGTTGTTTTTTTTCTGATCAATGATTAGAGAGGATACTACACCCACAAAACAAGATAAATGTTGTCGTGCGAGGTCAGGAAAGGAGTTTGGAGATTTCAAAGTAGACAGCTGAAATAAAACCCAGCGGGTGGCCTGAGGAAATCAATGAATGCCCTTTTCTACTTGGGCCAGATGACAGCATGCGCCTGGCATGAATTGAGTTGTGTGGCAGTGATTGCCAGTTCGGTAACGATGTAGTCATCCCTTAACGATGAGATCCAAGGTGATCGGCCAGTCTGGTGGAAGGGGGCTTGGGTAGAATGCAACAGCCTGACTCAGGTCATAGGTGCAGAAACAAGCTGAGGAGGCAGGGCCTGACTACCACCAATCAAGAAGAGCTGGGGGTGGAGCATGTGCTTTGGACCTCATCATCCCAGGCGAAGATTGACGCCTCACGGAGATTCTCCCCCATCCTCGGATCCTGCGTCCAGGGATAGTGAAAGGAGGCAAGGATTTTCTCCCAGAGCCACCAGAGAAAGCCTTCGCTTAAAGCTGGTCCCCGGATTCAGTCTGCTAGTCCCATAAACAGTGAGCTGGACTTGCCCCGTGGGCTGGGAGGTCTGCGGCTCCTCTGCTCTCCTCCGTGTCCAGTGTGTAGGAACGTCAGGCTCCACTCCTTTTCTTTGATGATACTGAGAGACCTCATTTTAGACATAGCTAATTTTTTACCCACGTTAAAGTTTCAAGTTTTTTACACAATTGCACTGAACTCTGGTAACCTTCACAGCTGACTCATGTCATCTTATCAGTACCTTCTCCCACCTTCCCTTTACCCAGACCCAGCTGGGCAGAAATGCCGTTTGCTGGACGGTACAGACTGTGGCTCGAAGAGACATTCAAGAATTCATGGTTAACAATGTCGGCAGTGCCATAGACTGCCGGAAAAACAGGCCAATCTGTGTTGGAAAAGTACAGTCAGAATGCTCACCAGTGAGGATGACAAGACATACTTTGACCAAGTTATCAGGAGGGACCAGTCCCTGGAAAGGGACATGATGTTTGATAAAGTAGAGGGTCAGAGAAACAGAGATAGCTCCCCAGCGAGACGGATCCACAGAGTGGGTTCTAACAATTACGAGATGGTGCAGGACCATAGGGTGGCGACGAGTGAGAATCACCTCGATGGCATGTTCCAACAGCAATGCTCTGCCATCGTTTATGAGCATTGTAGCCCTGGTGGAATCAATAATGGCACCTTCTTCACGGTGAAATGTAATGTGTCCAGCAGTATTTGATTGGAGGATTCCATGGAACCAAAGTTCTAGGCTTTGGTTATTCTGTTGGCTCTCAAGGTGAGCTCTTTGGTATTGTGTTCAGGGCTGGTTGCCGTGAATCTCTCTTTCCTAAGTTTCTGCCTTTGAGATTAGAAGGAAGAGCTGGAGTGTTCGCTGGTAACTGAAAGGGGTGTGGAAAGTACATGGGCAGACCTCAAGGATCTCAAAAAGGGGTTTCAGTGATACGAGCTGGACAGGAGAGCTGAACATGGCTTGCTTTCTTTCCCTGTAGTTTTTGATCAGTTGGATGTTGTTTCCTATGAAGAAGTCGTCCGACTGCCAGCATTCAAGAGGAAGACCCTGGTGCTGATAGGTATCTTCTCATTGCCCACCCCCACCCCCCCGCCCCACTCCAAAAGGCAGTGAGGAAGAAAAGAGATGAGGTCTCTGTGCTTGTACCAGAGCAGGTAGAATTTTCTGGGTCCTCATGAGAAGAAAAGCTGCAGGGTGGCGCTGCGGGTTCATGTGCTAGACTGCAGAGTCAGTTCACACTGTAAGGTGGGCGGTTCAAACTCACCAGCTGCTCCTGGGAAACCCTACACAGGGGTCACTGTGGGTCAGAACCGACTCGACGGCTCATATCCTTCGAAAATGAACAGACAGCTCCACATTAGCTGGCTCCTGTGTAGGAGGTAACAGTTGTATCTGGCCTTTGACCTTTAGCTTCAAGGAAGAAAACAAAACTCCAAAGCTCCTTGGCAGCCCCATTCCCACTGCTTTTGGGGAACTACACGGGAGCTTTCATGAGAATCCTAGCACCTTGCTTGCTTTGTCTCTCCTGTCTGTGTTCCCAGGAGCCAGCGGGGTGGGGCGCAGCCACATTAAGAATGCCTTACTCAGCCAGAATCCAGAGAAGTTCGTGTACCCTGCTCCATGTAAGTACCCCCCCGGGGGCCACATGCCTCCTCAGTGCAGTAGCCCCACTCAGTCTGACATTCCATTAGTGGGCTTTTGATGATGGCTTTGTTTGAAATGTTTGATTAAATAACCAAACGCTACACCTTTCTTCACCCACAGCCTACTTTTGTTTTCTCACCCTCTGTTGTGCTGCTCACCTACAGAACGATGTGGAGTAAATGTATTTTCTAAAAATGATAATGCAAGTCATGTTCTCTTAAAATGTTCTGCCTATGACTTTTCCCATTTCACTTTCTAGTCCACATTTCTTCAGGTTCCTATGTTGTCTGCCTAATTCTGTTGTTGACAACTGTTTTCTGACGCATTGTGTAGCTACGCTATCATTTACTACTGTTGGGCATTGACACTGCCTCCATTTTCAGGTAGCATCTACGCCAAAACCTATGTAGGAAAGGTGTAAGAAAGAATCTTAGGTAGCGAAGACTAGGACCGCTGATCAGGTGGGAAATGAGACCATAGCTCCATTTCCAGAAGGGACTTCGTGGACCCTGAACCCTGACCAGATCGATTGCAGTTTTGGATTCTTTGCTTCTCTGGTGTGCTATTTGACTGATGGCTCACTGTGAGTACTTTCAGTGGGATGACAGGAGCAGAAAGCAGATGAGCCCGGGTTGAGTTTGGGAAGTTGGAATGACTGATAGAGAATCCTCATTCAAAACTTGAATGAGAAGGGAGGGAGAGCAACAGTGATGAGGTCAAAGGAGGGTTACTAGTAGGTGACGGGGAAGGAGCCTACATGACAGGAGAGGTTGGCAGTATTGTGATTCTCAGGCTACGGAAAGGACATTGATAGGAACAATACAAAATGGGGTCTCTTGACTTTCAAGACCATTTTAAGATGGATTTCCTGGGCTGCATCAACCATCTAATAAACTCTCTGCATCAGAGGCAGCTAGGTTTTCAACACAGACACCATGCCCCAAGCCTTGGTGAGCCAGTGAGGACCCGGGTTCATCAGGGCACTTGGGCTCTTGTACAGATACGACACGACCACCCAGAAAGACTGAGGAAGATGGCAAGGGCTACCACTTCATCTCGACCGAGGAGATGACTAAGAGCATCTCTAGCAACGAGTTCTTGGAGTTTGGCAGTCACCAGGGCAACATGTTTGGCACCAAATTTGAAACAGTGCATCAAATCCATGAGCAGGACAAAATCGCCATCCTCGACATTGAGCCCCAGGTTAGATAGCAGTGCATGGGGTGGGCAAAGGGGGAGGGCTGTAAGCAAAGCTTGTGGTGGGAATCTTCTGGAAGTTCGGGTTCCTTAATAGACTTTTTGTAGGGGATCAGGCTGGAAATGGAAAATAGTAGTGGGATTGAAAAAATCCAAAGCTCCTTATTAGAATTCATTAAGTCGGCGCCCCCCGCCCCCACTCCTTTTCTGCAGACCCTGAAGATTGTCCGGACTGCGCAACTTTCTCCTTTCATTGTGTTCATCGCCCCCACCGACCAGGGCATTCAGGTGAGGAGGGGAGGTGTGGCTCTCCCCGGAGCCTCTGGATAGCTGCTGGTCCTCTGACGTTCGCAGGGACAGAATCCATTCCACAGAATTAGTGTCCAGTTACCGAGGTGGACAATGAAGCAAACCCTGACTCTGGTGTGACGAGGGCATGGGTGGCAATAACAGAGCGTGCAGTGGGTCACTCAGAATAGATGAAGAGGAATGTGTTGGTTTGCCCCCCACTACCCGTTCCCACCTCCACACCTAACCTACCATCCGGGTAGTTAAGTCACTGTGATACATCCTCCAGTCTTTTCTTTTACAAATCCATTTGACCCCCTTTTACACCTCACACACCGCATGCCGTCCTAGTCACGTATTTGGGTGGTTTTAGAACTTACCCTTTAGACAACAGCCATGTTCATGACTCTTCACGTACACCCCTGGTAACCACTAATCAAATTGGGTAACTGTGAGGTCGACTGTTCAAACCCATCAGCTGCTGCTTGGAAACCCTATATAGGCTGTTGTTAAGTACTGAGTCGGTTCTGACTCATTTGAGACCCAGTATAGGGTTTCCGAGGAGCAACTGGCGAGTTTGCATTGCTGACCTGCTATACAGGGTGGCTGTGAGTCAGAACCAACTTGATGATGATGGCACTCAACAATATTGTTTAAATTATAAATCCGAATCTTTGGCTTTAGTGGACGTCACACATTTTTATACATCACAAAGTCGTACATTCGGTGCAAATTTACCAGCTGCTCCTCAGGTGACTGGGGGTTGGAACACACTCAACTTGACAGCATTTAACAAATTAAAAAACCGTAAGACTGCAGTTGGAATCTGGAGGACAGATTCCCACAGGTAGGATTACTAGGTCCAAGAGTGGTGTTAAGTGCCGTCAAGTCAGTTCCGACTCATAGGATTTTCCAAGGAGCAGCTGGTGAGTTTGAACCAATATTGACCCTGTGGTTCAAATCAACCTTGAGGTTCAGTGCTGAGCCTACAAACACTACAACCAGGACTCCAGATCCAAGAGTGTTTATCATTTTGATGACTACAACCAACTTTAGGCATGAGATAGGACTTCTTGCCAGCTCATGCAGCGGGCTGTCCCCAGCATTAAACCAGGCTTCCCTTCCCCATGCCTCTTGCCCCCCAGCCCTTCCGCCCCTCCCTGTCTCACCACGGCCCTCTCCTCTGCAGACGGAAGCCTTGCAGCAGCTACAGCAGGACTCCGAGGCCATCCGCAGCCAGTATGCACATTACTTTGACCTCTCACTGGTCAACAATGGTGTGGATGAAACACTCAAGAAATTGCAAGAAGCCTTCGACCAGGCTTGCAGCGCTCCACAGTGGGTGCCTGTCTCCTGGGTGTACTGAGCTTGCAGGGTGAAGAAAACCACTGTGTGCCCTTGGCCTTCCACGGAACTCCATTTTAAGAAAAACAGGGTCATCCCACGTAGCTTGATGTGCCAGCTTTCATTTCGCTGTAGCATTTGATTGTTGCTGATTGATAGACAGGGCCCCAGTGAAACAATCTCGGGGGGTCCAGAGTACTACCAAAATACAAGTGTGCATCTGATTCTGCACACAGTGGGGGAAAGCTGTGAACCCTATCCTAAGTCTGGGCTCCTTGACCTTCAGTTACACTGTGTGATAGGATGTCTGCTATAGGTATATACTGAAAAGCAATAAAAATATGCTGATAAAATGCCAATAACCTCTTAGCTTGTTGGGTTTCCACCTGCACACAAGATGTCTCTTCTCTTGGGTAAAGAATCTCCAAGCTGGAAGTGAACCCCCTAGTCTAGGACAGCCTCCCTCCACAAGTTGTCTGTTGGGAAGGGTCTATTTCAGTACAGTAACATGTTGTGTATGCGGATGTCCTGGTACGGCACTGTACGATAAGCACTCGAATGGAAGGTCAGTTTGCACTCAGCAGCCGTTCCTTGGAAACCCTATACAGATCGCTAGGGGCCAGAAGCGACCTGCCAGAACTTGGTATGTGCAACACGGCCACCCTTTCTGCTCCATAGGGTGATGATTCCCAAGGCGAACCTCCCCTCCCTCCTGTAGGACTGGCCTTGGTTACTGCTTTCTCAGGGCTCCTTCTCTAACAGCCACGGTCTCAGCTCAATTCTCAAGCTGGGTGGATTTGCCACCACCCACCAGTCTGGGAATCCAGATCAACGGGTCCCAAGTGAAATCCCGCTTCTCCTATCGCATTAGCCCTCGGGGGCTCTGACGCAACCTCTATAAAGACCAACAAACACCTGGGCCTCTTCCCCATGCCACTGTGGCCACGGAGGTCATCCTGGGCATTCAGCCGTGGCATTTCAAATGGCACATGGAGCCAAGTCAGAACACCCAGATCTCTCAGCACTTCAGGAACCCGAGGCTTTCAGTCCATGCCAGTCCACTTATTCCTCATGACTCCTTGGAAGCAATTGGAGAGCATTAAACAATTCCTATTGTGGTCCCGTAGGGGGTAAGCCCTGGACTGCTAACTCGATCAGACCTGGGCCCTGAGGCTGAGTGCAAACCAACTCAATGGTACTTAAGTCCCGTAACCTAATTTGTGATCTCCGTAACCTCGTGAGTTAGAGTATCTGAGAAACAAAATAGGAGAACGTGAAGCCAACAGAGCATTAAGGAAAAACCTCCATCAGGCCCTGAAGTCCCTGGACTGCTAGGAAGAAAATGTTAGCCTCATTTCTGCTCTGCTAGTTTCAAACGGCAGACAATTAGCAAGCACACCAGAGGAATCCTGTAAAAACTTAGCAAGTGAACTTTAGTAAGTCAAAATTAACAACATTCCTTCTTCCTTAAGACCTCCATCTAGGAGTGCATGAGGCCTTGATAGCAAAGAAGCTCCACAATGGAATGCCGGGAATCCTGGATGTAAATTACCGGGTCTGTCTTCTGGCAACACCATAAACGGGAGTACCTCCTTTCTTACAAAAAGTTTATTATTGCCTTTTATTACCGGTTATCTTGAGCGTGTAGCACTGAACATTAGAGAATGCTAACCTCAGCCAATTCCACGCCGCACCACTGTAAGGTGCACGTCATAAAGCACAGTTAAGTACAGACTCAGGAGAGCAGTTCATGACGCAAACCCAGACGATCCAAGACTTTCAATGTTCTTGGATCCTCAATCAATACCCATAGAAGGCAGCAGCAGCTGAGAACTCACATGGCCTATGAACACATTACTATTGGGCAATCAATCTACTGCGGCCTCTTTAAAGCAGTATGAGAGGGAAGACGGCACGTGGAGGACCTTAAGGTGTCCCTGACCACCTCAGGTGTGCGTGAAAGCTAGACTGGGGACTGGATACTTTGGTGGAAGAACGGACACTCTATTTTGGAGGAAGTACATCCAGAATGCTCCTCTCGTGGACTTCGGGTTTCATCACCAGGAGGGAGCAATCCATGGAGAAGGACATCACCCGTGGTAGAGGGTCAGCAGAGAAAGACCTTGGCGAGATGAACTGTTCTGACAGCAATGTCAGAGGAAACTGAAAGGGAACCCCAACTCTGTGTCAACCATCACCAAAAAGAGTTCTTATTCAAAAGTACACGAGGCTTCAAACTAGGGGGTGCTGCTTCGCTTTTTTCACCACAACAGCAACCAGATGGGTTTACGTAAGCAAGGCTGTACAGAGACGATTTGGAATAGCCCTAAAGGATGAGAAAGGCCATGAAAAACCTGCCAGAGAGGAGCGCCCAAAGTCCCTACCAGGCCTGCACCAGGTAGGGCGAGCTGGTGAATCTGACCACTAGCGTCGGAACGTGGAGGAAAAGAGTGACCCCCAGTAGACCACTTGGTCGACGATGACTCTGGTGGGCTCTAGACCATTTCATTGAGCAGATTTAAAAAAAAAAAAAAAAAAAAAACTAAATGGAAGAGGAAAAAAGCAAACCAGAAGACTGGTGTTCAATCAGCAATTAGAAAACAGTGGTGGATACTTGCTGGGTGGTCTTGGGACCACCAGTGAGATAATCTGCGTCATTCACACCCAGGGTCCTTAAAACAGGACAAGCTGGGCTGAACACATTAGATAACATCACCAGTCTCTGGAAGCAGCTCAAGTGGGCTACCAACCTCCCTCAACAATGCAAGAATTAGATCTTCTCAGTAAGGCTGGAATTCTGCTCCCGGCAGCCACCGCTACTCGGAACCTGCTGCTTTTGCTTTCTTCTTCTTCTTTTTCTTTTTGGTCGTGTCATTGTCCTAAGGAGAAAAGGAAAGCAAGGTGATTTCCACACAACTCAGGGACACCCACTCAGCTCCCAGAGCTGCCACCACCCAGGACTAAACCACCAGAGGACCCTGGTGAAGGCGGCCGATATACACACCACGCCGCCAGGCTCGCCTTCCCTCTCCAGAGCAGCTTTGGCCTTTTTGTCTTTTTTACTCTTCTTCTTTTCCTTCTTGCTCAACTGTGCAACAGCTGGCGAGGCCTCTCTATCACTTTCACTCTCACTCTCTCGCTTCCGCTGACGTGAAGACAAACAATCAAAAATTCAGAGATGGACAATCAAGCATGAAACCTGTTCAACAGCAAGTCAAAGGGTCGAGAGCCAACTGACCGCCAACAGACAGAGTTTTCTGACGGCTGATGCTGCACGGAAGACCTGGAAAGTCTGATCCCGAAAGACCAAGGACACCAGGGGTCAACTCCACGGCATCCCAGCTCAGCACTCCAGCTCTAAGCTCCGTAAATCCGCAAAGCAGGCAGGAAGCCAAACCAGGATTTCGTATCGGACAGGCCAGGAGACACTGAAGGGCTGGAACGCTAACTCAGAACTTACCAAACAGTTTGCCACTTGGCACAACCCTCTCTGACCTCTGAGAAACTGTGTTGTCTGTCACCACCTGTTTTACGGAATCACACACAGGGCTGTCCCCCTTCCTTTTTCAGCTGAAGTCCAATGTGAATGACAACATGCCCTGGCCTCCTCCCGTTAAATACAATGTGTGACCCTGGGTGTGGCACACTATTATCTTGTCATCACCAGGTAGTCCCAGGACTTTGGAGAATTCCCTCACCTTCGTAGTTTCCGTGGTAACTGCCTGTGGGGCTTTTGCAGCTTCAGTAACGGCCTCTTTAGTCACAGAACCACTGAAAAAAAATGTGGTGCCAAGCAGTCAAACTCCCAGGATGGCGTCTCTGCAGGGAGCACTGTGCCCTCAGTGAGCCCTGCCCCTCACCTGTAATCCACGTAGTCCTGCACCCAGGCAGTGGGCGTGTTGTCTGTGGGCTTCCCATGCTTGTCCAGAAGGCCCTGCTTGATCATTGTCCTCTTCTCACTTGCCTGAGGGGGAAGCATGCAACACCCCCAGTTTTCACAGTTGTTCCAGAGGCATTCCATGTTGACACAGCTCAAGAGAAGACCTCCTCCCCAAGGCATACCTCTTGCTGGGACTGGGGAGCTCCCTGCAATCCTAGAAAGCCCTCACTTGGGCTGATGTTCACCTTCCCAATGTGCACTCAAGAGTAATGCTATCTAGTTCTCCCAAGAGAAGGTCTGTTTCCAGTGACCACTGACCCCACTGAAGCCAGAAAAAGAAACAGGTGGGGGTGGGGGTGGAGGTTGTGGGCATACACCAAGGGCTGCAGAGAAGAGCCCACTACCCAAGCCTGCTTACCTTTGGACCTAAACCCCACTTGCGAGGGTATGTGTCTCTCTCCATGATCACCCGCTTGATCTTGGCCACGATGCCATGGTCACAAGTGGAGATCACAGCTGTGGTCATTAACGCGATTGCTTCAGAGAGGCGAGAAGCACGTGAGAGGCGATGGTGAGTCCCAAACCACTGCAAAGCCTGAGTGGGGGCTTCCTAAGCTTTGTGTGTTTGGAAATGAATTGTTTCACTCCAAGACATGTTGGAATTCTAACCCCCATACATGTGGATGTCACCCTGTTTAGAAACAGGGTTTTGTCATGCTAATCAAAGGAGAGTAAGGGATGGGTTCTGAAGTGAATCTGAGTCACGAAAAGAGCAGACTAGACAGGCACACACATCAGGTGACGACCACTAAGGAACTGAACAAGGTGCCGGGGTCTACTGACAAACAAGTCACCCACTTGTTATAGCAGAACGAGGAAATGAAGGCAAAGTTACACCGGTAGCAAAAGTAGGGCTCAACCATGTGAACGCTAACCACACAGGAGGAAAAAGGCCCTGCACGTCCCGATGAACGGGACCCCGGTTCTCATCAAGTGGACATAACATGGCAGGATTTCTTAATCCTTGATTACGGGAAGAAACGGAATTGATCCAAGGAAACAGATCTCAACCACCACCACACTAATAAACCCTAGGTCCTTGGGAGAAGTCTGAATGGATCAACCAGTACTCTCGTAATGGACCTAATTCAGTGTAGAGATAAATGGGCTATCGTTAGAAAGCACGGTGGAATCAGAGGGGAAAGAACCACCGCCAAAAGGCCAGGTCAAGCATGCATGACAAAGGACTCTCAGTTTTAAGGGACAACAGTAGCCAGCAAGACACCTCAGGTGACACATTTTACCAACAGTGAACTCAGATTTCCTGTACAAGGTGGTGGTGGGTGGGGGGCCCAACCAGGGTGCAAGAGGAAACCCCAGCCACTCCTCTTCCCTGTGACCTCAGTCTGCAGACAACACATGTGGGAAGCTGCTGGGACCGTGTGGCTCAGAGCATGCTCTCCTCTTACCCATACAGATGGCCTCCCCTTTGGTGGTAATGACTACTATCTCCTGATTAACTTCGATGCCATCTTCATAGCGAAGAACCCCAGGAAGCAAGATCTTTGCTCCATAGCAGATTGCATTCACCTGTGGAACACATCCACCAGCAATCTGTTTGATCATCAACTGATGCAAACACTTACCCCACCATGTAGTCCAGCAAGAAGCCACTGGTCTCTAAGCAGGGTCCTTCCTGACAGGCAGGTTCAGCACCCACCCCAGAACTTGTTAAAGAGGTTCACAATTTCCTGGTGGGCCCAGTTCCTGGGTCTTAACAAGGATTCCAGGGGAGACCAATGCCACAAGTGTGATGCTCACGCTTCATCAGAACCTCGCAGCACAAGGGGAAGTGGGGAGGGCACAGCAGGCCCCGTCAGCAATGAAATGGGGCTACCAGCAGCCCCTAGCTTCCTGGACGGTGGGGACGCAGCACCTCAGCACTTCCCAAGCGTCAGAAATCTACTATCCTTCTACTTTGGATGTTCATGCTGGCCATCTGGACGTTACTACCAGATGCCAGGCGAGAGTACCACTAGCTGGGGCCTGAGTCTCAGTAGTTCAGTTCTGACTCAGCGATCCCCCCCACAACTGGCCCTTGGGAACCTAACCATGTGGCTAAGTAATTGGGCGTTAACACGTACATCTGAGTACGACACTTCAGTAGTTACAAAACAATGATTTTTGTAATTGGCTTTTTCTTCAATAAATGGTCCAATTACGTTTTTAGATTAAATCTGCCCAGAAGTCAATACAGCTTGGTCAAAGCAGGAGACTATAGATTGACGTTCACTGGTTGGTTTTTCTCAAATTTTATAGTCAGACATTTTAATATGCCTCGTTTCTTCTTTTGTCTTTTACTGTGGACTATACCAAAATGTGAATTTCTGGTGTGGCACTATAGGATCAGCACTGGACTGTGGACCACAAGGCAGGCCGTTCAAACCCACCAGCTGCTCCTCGGAAACCCACTGAGAACTGACTCGTTAGCATTCACCAACAAGCATCAGATTGTGTGAGAGCAAACGGCATGCCCCGCCTAAGCTTTTACCTGACCTACGTGACCGACTGTGGGAAAACTTGTCTGTGTAATTCATTTTGAAATGGAATGAAACCTAGCATTCATTTGTTTTTTTGACTACATCTGGGTCTGATTTAGAAGCTCGTGGTACAGTGGTTAAGCCCTTCGCTGACAGGAGAAATATTGGGTGTTCAAACCCAACAACTGCTTCTTGGAAGACAAATGTAGCTGTATGTGCGTCTGCCAAGATGTACAGCCTTGGAGACGCTATGGGGCAGCTCTACTCTGTCCTGGGTTGTGAGGAGTTAGGAAGTCCCCTTGTACGTCCATTATAAACAAAAGATTCAAGAAAATACGTTTCAACTTGTGGAACAAGCAAAAGCATAAGCCAACTCCCTAACTTCCGAGGCTTCTCTTCAAAGGCCTCCGGAGGCCCGGACTTACGGCACTGTCTTTCATAACCAGGCGCTTGTGGGATGTCAACAGTTTTTCCAGAGGATAAATGACTCGTCGCAGGTAACTTTCATCTTTGTGATTATCATACAGCCACTGAGCATCCAGCACATCATGCATTGTCACCATATGGTCCTGAAAAGACAATTCAGTGTTAGCTGCACGTCACCAACCTGAACTTCAGCAGCAGATTTGTACTCGGCTATTAGCGTAGTGGTTACGAGTTGGGCTGCCAACCTCACGGTCAGCAGTTGGAAACTACCAGCTGTTCTGCGAGAGAAAGATGAGGCTTTCTGCCCCCGTAAAGATGTACAGCCTCAGAAACCCTGTACAGGGTCGCTATGAGTCAGAACCGACTCCACGGCGCATAACAACAACAACAACATACCAAATCAAAGGAGCTCTGTGTGAGCTGGAACCGATTCCATGGCACATCACCGCCACATCAAACCAAGAGTCCTGGTGTGGCACTGTAGGATCTGCACTGGACCACTAACTGCAAAGTTGGTGGTTCAAACCCACCAGCTGCTCCTCGGACACTCTACAGAGTTTGCTAGAAGTTTCAACCTACTTGCCAGCACTTACCACCTACATCCAATCTAGGCAGGCATTTCTGTGGGCTGGGAGAGAGATGAATAGAGGAATGCTTTCTATCCACTAATTTCCCCCAGTCCATTTCAATGTTCCAAAGTTTAATTAACAGGCCAGGGAAGCTGCCCTGAGCTGAACTCAACACTTTGGAAACAGATGCTCAGCATGAAGCAGCAGCTCTGTAATGATCACGGTACCTTTTCACTCATGACTCCAGACCGAACCCTCCGAAGTTCCTGCATCTGACCTCCAACTCCCAGTAACAACCCCAGGTGCACACACAGTGTCCGAATGTAGGTGCCGGCCTCACAGCTCACCCAAAAGATCCCTAAGAGACACACACAAAAGAAAAGCAACGGTTCGTTGCTAAAGGAAACACAGCCCCCAAGTTCCACTCCATCTGAGACTAGAGACACCACCACAAACCTTGTCCAGGGTCTACTCTGAAACCCAGAATTCTCACAAGGCACGCCTACCCACTTGAGGTGGACGCCACGCCAATCCCTCAAAGGCCCAACAGCCTACCTAATCTTCTCTCCGGATCATACTCTATCATTTTGCTCTCATAGATGGTCCGGACTCGGAGTTGCCTCTTTACTGCGGCAATAAGTGGGGGTCGCTGGAATAGGGCGCCCGTCAGAGTCTCGAGGGCCTAAAATATGCACAAATCAAAACAACTTCATAAATGAAACCAAAAGGCGGGTGCTGTGCCTCGTTCAATACAATGCTGCTCAGAAGAGAGACACTGCCTGAAAGTCCCATTAAGAAAGGCCAACAAGGGATGCTTGACCTGCCTCCAGACACATCTAGGTTCAGAAGTCCCAAGGTGCCAAAGGGGGCCCTCCCTGCAAATGCAGACTTACCCTGGAAAGCTGGGCCCCCCCTTCAATAGCATTGTGCAGCCGGACAATTCCAACGTACTCTTTGCCTGAAATGTGACACAGGAGTAGTCAGGTGTGGCCACTAAGTTTTCTGTCATCCAGTCAAGAGCTGGCAGAGTCTTCTCCAGTTAGTACCCGAAGCGCCACAGAATGGGCCTACCTGCACTCTGCTGTGATTTCACCAGGCGAGTGGCTCGCTCGATGCACACGATCAGACAGCCAGTGACTTTGGGATCCAGAGTACCACTGTGGCCTGTCTTCTCAACACGGAGGATCCGCCGGATCCAGGCGACCACCTCATGGGAAGAGGGGTTGGAGGGTTTGTCAAGGTTAATGAAACCTGTCCTGAAAGGAAAACACAGAAAATCCACATACCATGTCTCTGCTCTTCTCAGGACTGAAAGAATCCCCATGGGTCCAACGTTTGCCCCCCTCCCCCGCCCATTCCAAACGCTCACCTGATGTAGTCAGCAATCTCCCGCTTTAGAGGGTTTGAGCCAGAAGGAAGAGGAGTATAGTGTGTTGTCCTTACATTTAACTTATCAAAATTCTAGAAAGCAATGACGCAACACAAAATGAATGCTCTGTCTCTAACGGTCCAATCTGCGAACCATTAGCACATATACAACAAAAGCCGACAGCCGTGAGAGGGTCATCATGCTCTGTGACAGACTGTTCAGACTCCTCCTGGGAGCTTCTCAGCAAGTGTACCATGAAGAAAACCGAGAAGCGCGGTGACCTTCTCAGGGGTTGTTGTTAAGTGCCGCTGAGTCAGTTTCCACCCCTAGCGACCCCTGTACAGGCTTTCCGAGGAGCAGCTGGTGAGCTTGAACCGCCAAGCATACGGTTCTAATGGCTTTGCAGTCTGGCACATTAGCCCACAGAGCCACGCCAGGACTCCTTCTCAGGGGGTAAGAGACCCAAATTTACGATTATTGGCAAAGTAATCCTCAAGCACGGCAGCCAAGCAGCCTGTTGTCCCTGCTTCAGATGCTCCTCTGTTCTGAGACTACTCTGCCGTCCGTGCTCAGCCCCTGCCGGAAACCCACCTCCCAATCCCAGCCCAGCTGCCGTGGCCCTTACTACCATAGCCCTACAACGATCTCGGGCCCTTCCCCTCATGCTCGCTTCCAAGAGAGCAGATTCCCAGGCCCCACAACAGAGGAGATGTTTACATGGCAGAGTTGAACGACGTGACAATCGTACAGGTCTAGTCAACTTGAGTCGCTTCATTGTGAAACAGACAACAACAACACAATTCAATTCTGCACCAAATCACCCTGTTTAAGACCAAAAAGAAATGTTGATTACCCTGAGAGGTAGAACGACTGGCCCAAGGTCACACGTTGTTAAGTGCTGCAGAGTTAATTCTGACTCACAGAAACCCTGGTTTAGAGCTGTTAGCATAAGCACTGGACTGCTAAGCACAGGGCTGGTGGTTTAAACCCTGCATAGAGTCACAATGCGTTATTAGAACTGACTAGACAGCATGTAACAACATATGGTTTCTGCGGAGTGGCTGGTGAGACTGAACTGCTGACCCTGTAGTTAGCAGTCCAGGGCTTATCCTACAACGCCACACCACGATGCCAAGTTGGTCTGGGTTCAAAGCTTCCAATCGGAAGCAGCACAGCAGCCGGCCTGCAAGACAGAACATAAGCCCCGAGAGCAACTAACATGACCATGAGCGATTCAGCACTGGGTGGGCCTCCAACTCAAATACCCGGAGAAGCTGCAGCGCTTTAGACAATTCACCTGCCATTTCCTGAAGCTGAGAGGTGAAAGCCCAGAGGCGCTCCAGAACCAGTGATCACAGTCACGTGTCTACTTTGTCTACAAAGCGTAGGATAAGCACTGGACTGTGAAACACAAGGTCTGCGGTTCAAGACCACCAGTTACTCCATGGGAGAAAGAGGCAGCTTTCTGCTCCACAGAGATTCACAGCAGGGATGGGCAAACTTTTTCTGCCAAAATTTGTAAGATCATTCGCAGGCCAGACAAAATTATCAACTTGAAAATTAGCCTGCTATATCTGGTCTAACAACTAACTTACCCAGAGTCCTGGTGTGGTGCTGTGGGATAAAGCATTGAATTGCCAAGGACTGATTTGAACCATTAAGGTAAGTGGTTCAAATTCATCAGCTGCTCCTCAGAAACCCTCTGCAGTGTAGCTATGAGTGGGAACCAACTTGACAACACTTAGAAACAACAATGTCATGGCTGGACATACAATTGCCTTGACAGGGTCAGACCGAATGATTTTGAGGGTCCTATAGACCCGTGCTTTCTAGACTGGGAAACGCAACACAGAGTCATTATGAGTTGGAACCGACTTGAAAACACTTAACACCACGCAATACTCATAGATGGATGGGCAAAAAGAATTGCTCACCATTTAGAAATAACCTAAAAGCCAGAGGCCTGACCTCAACCACATACCTTTAACAACAGGGGCCACTGAGATGTATCCAGCTGAGCCACTTTGGACTCAGGTTTTATAAGAAATTCTTCAGCATGTTGTATTTCCTTTGGTAAGACAGAGAAGCACACTGTATTAGACTTCCCACCCGACTTCTGACCAGCAAGTCTACACCTACTGTGGAAGGATTCACTTCTGTAGGAAAGGTAAACCAGAACTAGACCCGGGGCTGGGAAGGGGAAGTGAGGTGCCACTGAGGTGCGCCCAAATGCTTGAGAGAGACAGGGGTGGGCAAAGGCAAGCCGATTTCCGGAGAGCAGGCCCACTGGGTCAGCCCGCAATCGTTCAATAGGCCCCCTCAGCTGGCTGGGGGGTCAGGGGAGGTGGGCTCCATGTCTCAGACACCTTCAGAAAGTTGGTTCCTTCAGCCCGCTCTGTCAGCCATGTCACTGGGTAACCCAGAGTGCCACTTACGGCTACATCTTCTTCTGCCAGTGACTTCCGCTCCTTTTTCTTCCTGTGCTTCTTCACCAAAACAACTACAAAGAGAGCAGGTGGCAGCGTTTCTCGAAAATGATGACAAAATTCACAACCAAAACAAAGCAGGGATGGGGGAAGCAGGACACGGCTTGTTCGTGGGAAGTGGGGTAAAGCCAAACATTGCCCCCCACCCCGCCACCCCGCCACCCGCACAGGTGAACGGGACGCGCGCACGTGTTGGCTTCCCTTCCGGTTCACCACGTGGTCACGGACAGACTTGAAAACCGTGCGGACCGCCTGGCGCCTGTGGCCTCCAGGACTTTCTGGGGAAGTAGTTACACTGTGTGTCGGTGGTCCGCGGCCCCGTTGTCACCACTCGCTGCCACCACCGGGTCCCCTGCGGCTGCGCTGGCGGCAGCAACGCACAAGTACCCCAGGGCTCCCGCCGGCTCGGGGGCCACCTCGGGGCCGCCACGTCACGAAGGTCCTTTAGCTCTCGGACCCTCGCTGTGCAGCGCCGGGCCCGGCGGCCAGGCCGCCCCGAGGCCCGGGAGCGAAAGGGCCGGCCCGGAGGTGGGCGCGGGCGGGCGGCGGCGATCGCGGGCCCCGACGCCGCTCTGCTCGTTTCCCGAGCAGGTAAAGCTGGCTCCGCCTCGGCGCGCACGGCCGGCCGGCTTGCCATCGCAGTGCTTACCTTCGGTGTCCGCCATGTTCCCCACACAACGTGCACGCTGTCCGGGCCACCACCAACGAAACGAGCACACGACTCCCGCCGCCTAGGTCCCGTCAGGCCCCGCCGCTAAGGCCCGCCCACTTGCGCCCCGCCCTGTGCGTGCCGCGCCGCGGGGCGGGGCAGGGGTGGAGGGGCGGGCCCTGAGGAGCGCGAAGGCCTAAAGGGCAATCCCATTGGCTGACTCCGCTCTGGAAGGGACGCGTGCGCGCGGGCGCCGCGGGCCTCACCCGGCCTTCTGAGGCGCAGCCTGGGAGCGCGTGCGCAGGCTGCTGGGGTTCGTCCAGTGGGCGGTGCAGCTGCCTACCGCTCGCTTTAAGCCCGTGTCCAACACCGCCTGTTCACAATTTTGACCGCCCGAGCGCTCATGCCGACTCTTGAAGATAGGTGTCAGAATTTAGCCCCGGTTGAAAACTGAGTACATTGAGGTCTTGATGGAAATTCCTTGGCTGTTTGCTAGTACCATACACTAGAGGCTCGCTGTCCAATAGGACTAGAAAGCGAACCCTGTGTGTACTTTTAAATGTTCCAGCAGTCACATGGAGAAAAGTAAAAAGAAACAGCTGAAAAGAACGTTAATAATGTGGCTTATGTAATCCACTTACCCGAAATATTTGATTTCACCAGGCAGGCAATACAAAGACATTGTGGAAAGAGACGTTCCAGTCTCCCTTTTTTCCATATCACCTCCTCCGGTCCTCATGTGTGTATTACACTTTCAGCGCATCTCAAATCGAATAAGGTTCCTGTGAATGCTTGGCTGCTAACTGAAAGGTCGGCAGTCTGACACCCACATCAAGCACTCAGTAGTCTCAGGTAGGCTGTAGTAGTGATGGAGCGATTGGCCCCTCCTTACTTTGATTTCTGGGACCGACACTAACATTCCGGGTATGAGTGAGTATGTATTTAAATTTAACCGGTTGTTTCTAGTCTATTTTGTTTATTACTGTCCCTGGTGTGGCGCGGCAGGATAAAGTACTGGGCCACAAGGTTGGTTTGAACCACAAGGTCGGCGGTTCAAACTCACCAGCAGCTCCTCAAAAACCCTATACAGGGTCGCCGTGAGTGGGAACTGACTCGACAGCACTTCACAACAGCAACCACAAAGTACCACAGTGGAGTCTTGGTGTATGGTACTATAGGATAAGCACCAGACTGCTAGGCACAAGGTTGGCAGTTCAAACCTACCAGCCACTCCTCCAAAACCCTATACTGGGTCTCTACGAGTCAGAACCAAGAGCACTTAACAACAGTACCACAGTGCATTCTCTATCTTAATCCGGTTACAGTGGGCAGAGAGCTGGCCCATGAAAGGCCTCCCTCCCAGTAACCAGTCACCAGAGCACCCTGCTCACAGGGAGTTTGAAAGTGGCCTAGTGGTCTGTGCTGACCGGCTCCAGTTGTCGGACCTAAACCCTTGCCCCCTTTTCACTCTATCATGCTAACCAGCAAACCCACATGACTGGCCATCCTGTGCCTTTCCCGTGAGCCATGAACCCCTTACTGCTTACTTGTTTAGAACCTGCACACACTCTTCCTACTGTACCTAGAAGTCCACTGACTAGCAGCAGTGCACACCGATGTTGCCCTTTCCCTTTGTCCTTGAAGGAAACATCCATGCTGCTGTGGACTCAGCTGTGTTTCCGGGAAAGGTATGTTGCAGTCGCAATTCGTGTACCTGTGAATGTGACCTTGTTTGGTAAAATAGGAATTTTCCTTGTAGATATTAAATTAACAAGCCACAGTAGTCTAGGATGGCTCTTAATCCGAATCCCTTTTAACTCCTGCTTTATGAAAGAAAAGGCCAGACAGGGAGATAGTCGTGGGGCGGGGGTGGGGGGTGGGGTGTAGAAGGGAGAGGAGGCAGATGCGTCTACAAGTAGCAAAGGGATGCCAAGGACGCCAGGAACTAGGAGAGAGGCGAGAGGCATAGAACAGTGTGTTCTAACATCAGATAATAGAGAAGGGGAGAGAGCCTGGAGCAGCCCCAAACTACTTCCATGAGGTGGGGTCAAGCCGACCTCTACTCTTCACCATTTTCACCGTCTGTAAACACCAGCTGCTCCTTGCCTCTCCCCTTCTTCTTCATGACATGCCACTTCTCTGCTCACCATTTGGTGGTTTCTTAGGGAAAGGAGAGGTTGGTGTTGTTAAGTTATTAAGGGCTGTCCCTTCGGCTCCGACTCATAGTGACCTTGTACAGGGCTTCCGATCCTGTGGTTCAAACCCACCTTGTGGTCCAGCGCTTTATCCTACAGTGCCACACTCCCCAATAAGAGATTGCAGCTCGGGAAATAGGATGAACTTCGTGGATCAGCAGGGCAGCTTCCAATTAGGGCAGCTCGTTCTTAGCCATCCCAGCAGCCAGCTCTGGCTCAGCCTCTGCCCTACCAGGGCAAGTGTTACAACTCTTTAGCTCCACTAGCCAACCTCCTTCCTGACAGCTCTCACTTGCTCCACGGGCCAGCAAGCCCACTGCAGCTGTCTGCTGGTCCTGTGGTTTTGGCCACTCAGACTGCTCCGGCCTCTCTGGGCTTGCTGCTGCTCCTCGTTAGCTCATGTCCTTCTGTCATGTTCAGGGCACGATGCAATCCACTCCAGACACTTCTTGATGGTGGTGAAGGCCCCCTCAACCTCTCTGAGTTTCGCCCTTAGATTCAATTTCAAAGCATGGCCCTCCCAATCAGGCCACAAACTGACCAATCCTTGCAAAATCACTCAGTCCTTGTGGGTTGGTTTTATACACCTTATTTGCCTAGAAAACTGAGCAATCCTTGCTAAGTGCATAAAACAGCCCTGTCACAGACCAACCAGGCTGCAGCCTAAACAATTTTGCGGGGAGCAGAATTATAAACCCAGAGCCAGAAAGGCCACATCTAAAGAGAACCCCATTGCACTGTACATAATTTCTGTCTCAAAGCTTCAGAGGGAACTGGCTAGGCCAATCCCAGGACTACGGTGGTAGCAGCAGCGGCGGTGGTGGTTGTGTGCTGTGGAGTCGGTTCCGACACATAGTGACCCGGTACAGCGTTTCCGAGGCTGTAAATCTCTACAGGAGCTGAAAGCCTCATCTTTCTGAAAGCGGGCAGTGAGCAACTGAGGGAACCAGGAAAGTTTTAGCTTGGCCAAAGTGAAATGAGATCCGGACAGTCACAACAGCTATTGCTAAAATGTAGCTTCTTCCGGAACTGCCCATAGTTCACCTCATTCTTTAGAGAGGAATCATTTCTTCTGTGGTGCTGTAGGATAAGTGCTGGACTGCTAATCACAGGTCAATGGTGCAAACCCACCAGCCACTCGTTGGAAGCCCTATACAGGGTCGCTATGTGTTGGAACTGACTCGATGGTCCTTAACACCAACAATCCCCACTGCAAGGACTGGCCCAGGAAGGGAGCAAAACAGCTATGCTTATCTTGTCAAGGCCATTGATAACCACTGCTGAGAAAAGCTAGCAGTGTCTGTAAGAGGCAACATGTCCCGAACAGTCAGCGGCGGATCTTCAGATAAGCAAAGCAACAAAGAAGTTTCTGGGATTCCTCCGGCTCAGATTAACCTACATCCAAAATCCTTATAAGTCCTTCCTCCCCGTTTCGTAGGGGAGACAGATAGGGGAGATTTCCGCTCCCATGTGCTCCTGAGTATCAATTTTCAATAACTGCTTTGTTCTTTCTTCGGAGTCTTGTCTCTGAATATTGGCTACCTCCGCAACAAGTGATAACCGTTTTCCTGCTTGCGTCTCTCCCACGGAGCGCCTGGTGAATTGGAACTGCTGGCTTTATGGTTCGCCCACTAACATATAACCCATTTCTCTTCTTTAAAGTCATCCATTTTGTGGCTTTTTTGTTGTGGCCAGCCCTCCCTTTTGTTCCAGATCCCAACAATTGACCCTTCTATTTCTGTGCCCTCCGGTCCTCCTCCTGTACTGAGTGGAGCTCACGTCGGCCTGTCTGAGTGATTTGACTGGCCCCTCAGCTGGGCTTTCATGAGTTGACTGCAGGGAGACAAGTTGGGAGTCTTCAGGACTTGAGGGGAGTCTGGAGGTGAAGATGGGCAGGTGGGAGGTGGTACTACAGGGTCACAGTCCCAAGGAAGCATCTCTTAGTTAGAATCTATACAAAATGTAGTCCTTTGCCCTCTGGTGTGGTCAATCAAACCCACCAGCCGCTCCTTGGAAACCCTATACAGGGTTGCTATGAGTCAGAACCAAGTCAACGGCACACGACAACACCACCACCACCACCCCTCACCCCCGAATTAGGACTTCCAGCTTGTAAACTGTTTGTGGAAACTTCTCACTTGTGGCATTTCTGGTATAGCGGCATCAAGGAAGACCAGAAGACAATTTTGTTCTTTGCAGCAACAAGAACGGAGTTTGTAGGCCACCTACAATCTCTTCTCGGCAGAGCTGTAAGTCAGTCAGGTCACGCCTCTCCTCTGGAGTGGGTTAGTGGTGGCCCCAAAGTCTATGTCCAGGTCCTCACCTCCAGGACCTGTGACTGTGGCCTTCCTATGGACAAAGGGCCTTTGCGGATGTCTCTCTACAGATCTCAGGGAACAATGACAAAGCCAGATGCAGTAAGCGGAAGCTGCACATCAAGGCAATCATAGCAAACATCTGGGCAACTATTTATGTAAGTGCAATTGGAAGGTGCTTGATCCAACAGAATTGTACAGTAGATGGAATCTAATCTGGTAACGGAGTTTTACCTGCAAGAGCGCTGGACAATTGATTCCAGGTGCCAACAGGCACTGGTTCCCTTCGCTGTTTGGCTAATGTATACCACAGGCTCCGGGATACCCATCTCAGAATAACAATAGAAACCACCCTGGTTGGCACTCCATGTGAGCAGACAAGCAGAACCTAGGCTTTTCAATGGCTGGTCTTGGGAAGTACAGGTAGATTTCCATCCCTTTCTTCATTCAAGTTGCTGCTGGGTAGACTTGAACTGCCAACATGTTGGTTCGCAGCTGAGTACTCTTTGCACTCACCACCCAGCATGTCTCTGTGTTACAAGTAGTCCACAAACTACCTTGATGATTATTAGCTTGTGTTTAGTTTTTGGAAATGTAATTATTCAATTATGGAGTCCTGGTGTGGTGCTGATGACAAGGCCCAGACTGCTGACTGCAAGGTCAGTGGTTCAGACCCACCAGCCATTCCTTAGAAACCCTGTACAGCATCGCTACGAGTCACAACTGACTCACTGACCTTTAACAACAGCAATTGTTAGTAACAGGTACTACACACAGTGTTGCAGCCTGTAATTTGCTGAGACCATTCTGTGATGCTCACTTACAGATATTCAATGTTATGACCATAGAGATCACTCTCACAGATTTTCTGATTATTAGTACCATCACCATTCCCAAGAATAATCTAGAACCTTCCACAAGTGGAGTTACTACTGCCACTGACAAAGTGCCAATATCATCCAACTCTACATCACTACTGGAGGACAGTTTGGTGATTTGTGTATTTTTTAACGTATGTTTGAGGGAGCTCTGGTGGCAAACTGGGCTGGCTAAATGTTGGTTGGTGGTTCAAACCCACCAGCTGCAGTGGAGACGTGGCAATTTGCTCCTGTCAATTTTGTTGTTGTTAACTGCAGTAGAGTCGGTGCTGACTGGTAGTGAGTGACCCTGTATAGCCTTTCTGAGACTGTAAATCTTGGTGGAAGTAGAAAGTCTCATCTTTCTCCCATGGAAGGGCTGGCGGGCTACAACCACCAAACTCGTGGCTGGCAGTCCAGTGCTTATCATATGGAGCAAAGAATTGGAACCCAAGGATTCTTTGGTGGTAACTCTGCTCATCATTTTCGGGAACTGGAGTCCTGATGTGGTGTTGTAAGATACGCACTTCACTGCAGGGTCTCTGTGAGTGGGAAGCCAGTGGACAACAACCCTGTATAGATGGTGCTGCTCCATTTACAAAGTCTGTGCACTGAGAGCTGCCAAGGGTGGACTCTCTAACTGGCCTCTCTTTGGGCTGCCGCAGAGCCCCGGGGCGTCTATATTCTTGGGGGACACGGGATGCGCTGGCGTCCTGCCACAAGCCAGGTGTTAGGCGGGGGCGGGGCGGGGCGGGCGGCGACGCCCCCCTGAGCGCCCTGCGGGGCGGGGCTGGCTCCGCCCGCGGGATCAATGGCCCGACTTCCTCCTCTGCCGGCGCTCAGACAGGCAGCCCAGCTGGAGGAAGCGGCGGCGCAGCGGCCACGATGAGCTCGGGCGACGCCGTGTGCACCGGCTGGCTTGTCAAGTCGCCCCCCGAGAGGAAGCTGCAGCGCTACGTGAGTAGGGGCCCCTCCGCCCCGCGGTGCCTCCCAGCCCCTCGCGACTGGGCACGTCGAGCGGGTCACTGGCTCCGGTGTCCGCCGTCTGCCCCAGGCGAGGAAGGAGGCCGGGGCCGAAGGGGCAGGCTCGGACCTGGCAGACTTCTAGAAAGAAGTGCCCGTCCCGGGCGGGAAGTGGCCCTCGGTGCCCGTGAGGGGCCGGGGCCGGGCGAGGAGGGCCAGGCTGAGGGGAGCTGCCCGGCGGACTAGCGGGCCTGGCCCGCATCTCCGGGGGCTGGAAGTCCGGCTTCGGGTGCAGCTGCACCGGACACTGTTGGGAGTCAGCCCAAGTGGGACTCGCTCAGCCGTGGGGCTCGGGCAGGGAACGTCCTGCAATAAGGGGCCCTTCTGAACCAACGCAATGACCAGTACAAATGCACTGCCGAGGGCGCGAAGGAGCAGTCTCTGTATCAGCTTCGCTGGACAAGGTCTTACCCCACTGGGCGGAGAGACCCGCACGCTACTGAGGCTACTTCAGCCATTAAGAAGAAACTCTTCCGTCTGCTGGGAGGTGCACAGAAATAGATAGGATTTTAAGAGTTGCTTGATGATCTAGATTCCCATGGTAGGGACAAATCTTCCCATGTCTCCTCCAGTCTCGAGCTGCCCACCCACCCAAAATGGTTCCAGACCATGTCCTGAAACGGCTGTTTCTGCCAAATTTCACCTGGTGTTTTGGCTCCCACGTTAATGAGGCACAGCCCTGGTGTGGCGCTGTGGGTTACCGTTTGAACTGCAAGGTCGGCGGTTCCAGCTCACCAGCTGCTCCTTGGAAACCCTATACAGGGTCGCTATGGGTCGGAATCGACTCGACGGCACTTAACAACAACAACAACAATTATGACAAAGTGGGATTATACGAAGAGTTTTATAATTTATGGAAACTTCCCTTTGATTTCTCTAATTACCCTAGATCATTCTGTTTGAGTGCTCAGTCCATAAACTTGCAGGATTCAGCCTGTGACCACTCAGGTGAGGATTATTGTCACAAACTGGCACTTTGAAAGAACGCTGGGGACGTTGATTTCTTTGTTACCTTGAGTGGGAGGCATTTGAAAGGTTCTTTAGGCACCCACTTTGCAGCAGATGAATCAGGAAGGTGGTGGGCCTGGAGGGCAAAGTGTTCGGAAGGGTTTTTCCAGCCTTTCTTATCTTGTCCTCAGCACTGCTATAGGAAATGTGGGAATGCACCAGCGTGCCTACCTGCTATCATTCATGGTTTGTTCTTTTCGGGTGGCAAGTGTGGACACTGCACAGCACAGGGCTGTGTGCACTGGCGATCCGGGAGGCTTGGCACAATCCGCTTCCAGATTGTCCGAATGTAGGGGTGCAGACAGGGAGGAATTGTTCTTTGTTGTTAAGTGCCGTCTAGTCACACTCCTAAGACATACAGCTAGAGCTTTTAGTCCGTGGTTGATGTTTTCTCGAAAAGAGGGGCATAGTCTTTTAAATAATCATTGTTTTGTGTGTGTCTGTGTGTGTTTGGAAGTGCATCCATGGAACACACACCAAAAAGACAACAGTCAGAAAGTTGGTTTCCTCTCATCACTAGATCTTGCAGGAACTTTTTGATGCCACTAGATGGCGACCACATGTCAGTTTCAAGGGGCTTGGACAGCGCTGTTATGAATCCAATAAAAAACCTGTTGCCTACCAGTAGATTTCAGTTTTAGTCCTGGCATGGCACTGTAGGTAAGCACTGGACTGCAAGGTTGGTACGAACTGCAGGGTCGGCGGTTCAAACTCTCCTTGGAAACCCTATACACGGTCGCTATGGCTTGGAATTGAATTGATAGCCCTTAACAGCAACACAGGGCAGAGTCCTGGTGTGGCGCTGTGGGATCAGAAGCACACTGCTAACCACGGGCCAGCGCTGCAAACCCATCAGCCACTCCTTGGAAACCCTATACAGGGTTGCTATGAGTTGGAACTGACTCGATGGCACTTAATAATAGGATGGAGTCCAACTGCCCCATAGGATTCCCAAGGCTGTTGTGAAGATTGTCATGTTTTTCTTTCTCAGGGCAGTTGGTTTCAAGCTGCTGACCTTTCAGTTCACAGCTGAAGTCCTTGACAACTCCACCACTGGGACTCATGTTATTAACAACAACAAAACAAATACCTACTGCCATTAAAGGAGCTCTGGTAGCGTGGTGGTTATGAGTTGTGCTGCTAACCTCAAGGTCAGCAGTTCAAAACTACCAGCTGTTCTACAGGAGAAGGATGAGGCTTTCTGCTCCCGTAAAGATTTCCAGCCTCGGAAACACTATACACTGACTCGATGGCACACCACCACCACCACCACTGACACTGGGTTGATTCAGTACCTCGAATTCAGCTCTTGTCATAAATACTTATTCTGCAAGGCCTTTCCTCTGAACCAGGATCTGTGGTACTTACTAGAGATACAGAAGGGAAGAAAATCACCAAACCCTAGACAAGTTCCTAGCCAAGTTCCTGGTGGTGGGCTGGGTGAACACCTCTGATTCATGACTTGACAGATCTGTGACCGGGACTCTAGTCCAGGAGGCTGGTGGTCGGCGCCATTGAGTTGGTTCTGACTCAGAGTGACCCTGTGCACAACAGAAAAACACACTGCTTGCTCATATACCATCCCCACAATTGGATCAGTCCACCTCTCGTTGGGGGGGGGTGTCTTCCTCTTTTTTGCAGACCTCCACTTTACCAAGCATGGTGTCCTTCTCCAGGGACTGGTCCCTCCTGAGCCATGTCCACAGTTGCTATTAGTTGTCGTCGTTAGGTACCGATGAGTCACAACAGAACAAAACACTCATTGTGTTGGTACCACTGGGTCAAGCCAGCTCGGTGGGGTCTTCCTCTTTTTTGCTGACCCTCCACTTTTCCAAGCATGATGTCCTTTTCCAGGGACTGATCCCTCCCAATAACATGTCCAAAGTATGTGGGAGGAAGTTTCATCATTGTCGCTTTTAAGGAACATTCTGCTTGTACTTCTTCAGAGACAGATTTGCTCATTTGTCTGGCAGTCCAGGGCAGGCTCTCAGGCAAGCAGCACTCTATGAATAGTCACAGTTAGCAATAGAAGCTCAGTTGGCTCCAAGGTAGATCTTTCAGTTCACACTAAGATGGGGCTTCCTCCAGTGAATCAAGAGCCGGGCCAATCGGAAAAGATTATTGATAGTTTGTTTTTGTACTTTAGGTTTCATATGTAGTATAGGAATGTTGTTGTTGTTAAGGACCATGGAGTCGGTTGTGACTCATAGTGACCCTGTACAGGGTTTCCGAGACTGTCAATCTTTATGGGAGCAGAAAGCCTCATCTTTCTCCCACGGAACAGCTGGTAGTTTCGAACTGCCGACCTTGGGGTTCGCAGCCCGATTCGTAACCACTACGCTATCAGAGCTCCTTATAGGAATCAAGCAATGTAAGAATAAATGGACTAAAAGGGGAAAGACCGTCTTGAAGTTTTTTTGCCCGTCCTACTCTCTTACACATTACCTAATAGGCAGCCCTCTGTTGGTGAAGCTGTAGCCTGCCTCTCTTTTTCCAAGTTTGAAGCAGGCCTGGTGTGGTGCTGTAAGGATAAACACTCGAGCACAAGGTCAGCTTGAACTTCAAGGTTGGCGGTTCAAACTCACCAGCCACTCCTCAGAAACCCTGTACAGTGTCGCTATGAGTTGGAACTGACTCGATGGCACTTAACAACAACAACAAGAGTTACAATTGTTCCCATTTACAGACCGCTTGTATGTGCCAGGCATTTGGCTAACGACTTACTTGGTCTTCAAAACAATGCCAAGAGCAACGGCATTGCTACTATCTCTGGATCCATATATTATTTGCAAATATTTCCTACTAGTTCATTTGTAGTTTGCCTCTTCAGTCTCTTAGTAGTACCTTTTGCTAAACAAACGGGTTGAACTTCGATAAAGTCCACTTGATTCACTTTTTTTCTCTTAAGGGTCATGCTTTAGTTGCCAAGGCTGAGAACTCTGCCTTGCCCTCAATTACAGAGATTTTCTCTTGTCTTTTTTTTCTAAATGATTTATAGTTTCAAGTTTTGTATTTTTGACCCATTTTAAGTTGATTTTTATTCAGTGTGTAAAGCTTGTTTTCCTGCATCCAGCTTCCGGTTGTTCAGTGTCCTGAATTGAATAAACTGTCTTTGCCTCAAAACAATTTACTTCTAGGTTCTCCAGTGGACTCTCTTGGTCCATTTGTTTCCTTAATGCCAATATGGTTTTGGTCTCATTCTTGAAATCAGGTATTAAAAATGCTTTACCTTAGTTTTTCTTTGTCAGTTGCTTTGGATATTCGGGTTCCTTCACTTTTCCTCCTCAATTTTAGAATTAATTTGTGAAATGACTTCTGTATATTTTTCTTGTATCCTGCAAGCTTGCTAAACTCGCTCTATTTGCCTTGCTTATAGTGAAACCTCCAGGGAGCCCTGGCAGCGTAGTGCTTATGTATCAGGCTGCTAACCTCAAGGTCAACAGTTTGAATCTACCAGTTTCTCTGCGGGAGAAAGATGAGGCATTCTGCTTCCATGAAGATTTATAGCCTTGGAAACCCTCTGCAGGGTCACTATGAGTTGGAACCAATTCTATGGCCCACCACCACCACCACCGCCACCATAGTTAACCTTCCAGCACTATCTCTGCTGCATAGAAATGGCAGATCTGGCATCCTTGCAGTTGTCCTGACCACAGTCCAGTGCTGATCCTCCAAGAGGTCATTTCTTCTACCGCTGAGTACTGTGCCATTGGGCCTCACTTGGTTAGCCAGCTTGGCGCCACCTTTTGGCCATAGTGAGTAGTGCTGTCTCTGCTCTCCAGTCTCTCCAGGGTATAGACCTAGGAGTGGAATTTCTGGGTCATTTGGTAGTTCTTGGTAGCATAGTGGTTACGAATCGGGCTGTGAGCTGACAGGTCAGCAGTTCGAAACTACCAACTGTTCTGTTCTGTGGGAGAAAGATGAGG